TTCTCCTGCGGAGCAGCTGGTAGTTTCGAACCGCTGACCTTAAGGTTCGCAGGCCGATTCGTAACCACTACGCTACCAGAGTCTATAGGAGTATATACCAGTATATAGTGACACAATAGATGACAGCCTAGGAAACCCTCTGGGGCAGTTCTCCTCTGTTACACCAGGGTGCGCTGTGAGTGGATGATCTATAAGAGTATATACGAGTATATAGTGACACAATAGATGACAGCCTAGGAAACCCTGTGGGCAGTTCTCCTCTGTTACACCAGGGGGCGCTGTGAGTGGATGATCTATAAGAGTATATATGAGTATATTAGTGACACAATAGATGACAGCCTACGAACCCTGTGGGGCAGTTCTACTCTGTCACACAGGGGTGTTGTGAGTTGAAATCGACTTGACTGCAGTAGTTCAGTATATAATAAATCTCCATATCAGCATGAATAATAACAGTGGTATGCTTGTATACATGGGTCGCCTTAGGGAAGATGCAGAGGCGGGAGCCTGGAAAGAGATGGGAAAGTGTCCAGGATGGAACTTGGCGTATATATATGACCCCTCTGTGTAAAACCATATTTTGTCTCTGTGTTTGTATGATATGAGATGCATGAAAAATTCATCACCTGAGCAGTAGTGGCGGTAATCTTAAAATAATAAGCCACTGCCATCTCCTTGATTCAGACTCATAGACACCAGGCAGAACAGAGTAGAATATAGAAGTACTCTGTTGACATGTCCATGTCTGTAAAGTTTTAAGGGCTCAGACAGCCTCATCTTTCCCCCAAAGAGTGACTGGTAGGTTTGAACCACCAACCTTGCTGTTGGTGGCCCAACACTGAACCACTGCATCACCAGGAATCCTATTTAAGATCATTGCTGTAGTTGTTAAGTGCCTTTGAATCGGTTCTGACTCATAACAACCCCGTATAGGGTTTCCAAGGGACATCTGGTGAATTTGAACTGCTGACCTTGAGGTTCAAACCGATATTGCCTTGTCTAGTGCTTTATCCTGTAGCGTGTAAAGACAAAAAACACAACACTTTACTTTCTTTATAATTTTATGCATTGCTTGAGTTATTTCCAAAAGCATGAAGAAAAACAATAGCACTATTTTTACTGGGGAGTGGGGGGTGGGAAAGAACCCAGATAATTAAGTTAATCTCCTCTTTCCTATTACAAGACATAAATTGGCTTTTACTTCTTTAGACTCTAAGATGTTGAGTAAAATTGCTCTTTGAAATATTTCCCTCTTGCCAAGTTGTCGCCATGTCTTCTACCACACCGGATGCGAGTGCTCTGTTTGTCACACTGCAAAGTTGTCTGTTGTGTTTTCAGCAGGTGATACCGACTGGAACTCCTACGCAACCACAATGAGGACTGCATTCACTCCCAAGACAGCAGTGGTGCCGGATTTAATTCGGTGAGATCCTTACTCAAGTCAGAGCAAGATAAACCAAACCCACTGCCCTAGAGCCCACTCTGACTTATAGCGACTCTAGAGGACAGACTAGAGCTGTCCCCAAAGGATTTTTGAGCCTGGTGCTGTAACATCAGCACTGGACTGCACACCACACAGTGAGTAGTTCAAACCCACCAGCCACTGTACAGGAGAAAGATGAGACTTTCTTCCTGTAAAGACTCACAACCTCAGAAATTCTATACAGGGCTGCTGTGAGTCAGCACCTACCAACAACAATGCTATATTCTGTTGTTTGTAAGTGTTGTTGAGTCAAATGTAAACTCGTGGAGTCCCCATGTGTCACAGAGGAGAGCTACCTCATCCCCAGACTGCTGTCTAGGCTATAGTTTTTATTTATTTATTTATTTTAAAACATATTTTATTTAACTGAGTGCATCCAAAGTATTACCATCTCAATTGTTGTTGTTGTTGTTAAGTGCCCTCAAGTTGATTTCGTATTGAAAATTATTAATGAGGTATTTCACATGCTTACCTCATTCTAAGGAGCTTTGGTAGTGTAGTGGTTATGAGTTGGGTTGCTAATTTCAAAGTCAGCAGTTCGAAACTACCAGCTGTTCCACAGGAGAATGATAAGGCTTTCTGCTCCCATAAAGATTTACAGTCTCGGACACCCTATGCAGGGTCACTATGAATTGGAACCGACTCCATGGCACACCACCACCACCATGTCATTCTAGGGATTTCTGGTGTGGTGTTGTAGGATAAGCATGGGACTTTGAACCACAAGGTAGGCAGTTTAAACCCACCAGCTAGGCTGTAGTTTTCTTGGAGGCAAAGAGTCAGGTCTTTTTTCTGAGACCGTCTGGGTGGGCTTGAACTACTGACATTCATTTGGCAGCTGAGTACTACATCAGAACTCCTACTTACTGTGTAGCAGGCAGGTTGTGGTTGTTAAGTGCCCTTGAGTTGGTTCCAACTCACAATGACCCTGTATAAGGTTTCCGAGGAGCAGCTGGTGGGTTGGACCGCCCACCTTCATTCAGTTCAAACCAACTTTGTGGTCCATTGCATTATCCTATAGCATCATAGCAGGCAGGTAGGTAATGGTTAGTCTACAGCCCCCCACTCCAATCCGCACCCGTCTAATTATTGTGGCGCTGAGGGTTAATGCGCTGAACTGCCAGGCATGTGGTTCAAGCTCACCAGCTGCTCCTCGGAAGCCCTATACAGGGTCACTGTGAGTCAGAACCGACTCGAGGGCACTTAATAGTGGCAACAACAAAGCAATGTTAACGTAGTGGATTATGAGTTGGTCTGCAAACTGCTACGTCAGCTGTTGGAATCTACCAGCTGTTCCGTGGGAGAAAGATGAGGCTTTCTGCTCCCATAAAGATTTACAGCCTCAGAAACCCTGTACAGGGTCGCTATGAGTCTGAACTGACTTCATGGCACATCAGCGATACTAACCACTATAGTGATGTTAGTATCTTAGCTAACCCTATGCTGTTGGCTCGCTTGTGGTTCATGACAAACCTGTCAGACTTAGTAGACTGTCTTATAGCATTTCCAAGATTGTAACCCAGCCGCTCCTCAGATATTCTGTGCTCATAGGGTTTTTATGAGTCGGAACTGACTCATCAACATTTACACCAGTCCTTACAGAAGCTGCCTGCCACAGCTTTGTCCATGGAGTAGCTGGTGGGCTCGAACCACCAACCTTTCACTTGACAGGCAAGCGCTGTAACCACAGTGTTCCCAGGCTACAGCTGGCTACTCCTGCCAGATCACACATCCTCACTCTCAAGTGGACGGTCCTAAGGAACTGAAATGGATGGTCGCACAGTTCTGCATCTAGCAGTACTAGTCTACTGTAGCCTGAGGACACAGAGGTTAAAGCACTTGGCTGTCAGCTGAGAGGTTGGTGGTTTGAGCCCACCTGCTACTCCATGGGACAAAGATGTGGAGCCCTGCCTGGTATGGTGCTGTAAGATAAGCACTCAGACTGCCAGGTCGGTTTGAACCGCAAAGTTGTCAATTCAAACTCACCAGGCTCTCCTCAGGAGCCCGATACAGGGTTGCTATGAGTCAGAACTGACTTGATGAACCACGCAGTTCTGGAAGCTAAAAGCTCCCATTAGGGTCTCAGCGGTGTCCGTTCCACCCCGAGAGGGAGGTGTCCGTTCCTTCCTTGGCTTGCAGACAATTTACTCTGGTGTGTCTCTGGGTGTCATTCCTGGACTGTTTATAAC